AACGGTCTTGCATTGCGTCCCAGACCCCCAGCGATCAAACGTGACATCACCCTGTTCCAGTCCATTGACAGCGCCTTGCATCGCCAGCCAGTTGATCAGCTGAGTATCGTTTGACCTGACAACGGATTCACGTGCGCAAACCCWAAATCCACTCGAAGTCACGTGCTTTACCCATAATGACTCTGGGTTGATTATAGGCTGTTGGTCATTGGATTGAATCACGGAAGTAAGGATTCTGATGTCATTGTTACTTGGAAACGCCGTCTTAAAGTCAWGTTTGAAACATCCAGGGTCGCTTGATGCTGTCTCATTATTAGCARAGAATTTCCCTGACTTTACCGACCCACCTACCGAATATACATTATATCAAATTGAAAATACAGATTGAATAGAGGTTCTCCTGGTGAGACAATCATSTGAAAACCTTTACCTTCAACTASACAAGACAGCAGCAACAAAACAGCCGCTAGCTTGACGATTTTCATTTGCAATGTGATTTTGTTGTATTCTGTAAAATAGTGGTATAGTTATTAACAGTGTAAAGCTAGTCACTAGGAAAATTTATCAAACTTAAGTTTGGAACGCCCATATTCTCAACCTAGTCATTTTTCAATTTCTCCAACGGTAGAAATTTRATTCACCAGTTAACTATAGTTTTTTAATAATTTAGTGAAGTTTTTTACCCGCCTCCTCCCCCACCACAGAAAGGTGTTGCTTTGTTCCACAGATATATAATCGAGCTCCTATACGCAAGATTGAATCCCATTTCAACGTAATCATCAGCAGACGCGTAGCGTACTTTACGCATATATATACAAACGTGTGTACTAGTGGCAAGGAAATATCAAAATTTTCACAAAAATTACTGAAAAATCCACATAAAATTGATCTAGTCTTTTATATGCCCTCCATTTCTCTTAAAACGCTGGAAATAGCATTTCCTATAGAGTTATTATTTCAAAATTTCCTGGCGGAGGTCCAGAATCCCTTACTCCTGACTTTGGTGGTCGTTAGACCCACATATYCAAAATATGTGTCGCGGTCCCTGATATCTGCGTACTAGCCAAAAAGTTCACGCTGCACGCCTGATCAGCAMACCTATCTGTGCGCAATTACTAAGGATAGTAAAACCTATCAAAATGAAAAATCCTTTTCAATGCAAAAATTTGATACAATAAAGAAAAACCTTTAATCAAGAAGCACTTTTATTATCTTAGTTCTATAGCATTACGTACCTTGCTTTGAATAGTGTTAGTGAACTTCCTCTTACTATAGTCTGTGGTTTTTTCCAGTTTCTCCAAGCTTCGCAGAGAAGTGATTAGTTTAAGTTGGGTGGGAGTCATTTATACTTGGTTCTCAGCTAACAATGTTTTCTCATAATTAAACAAAGTTGTCAGAGATTACTTGATTCCTATTGGCTAGATCTTCCTATGCACATCTAGTAGTTGTCGAGAGAAATAGTCATCACTTGGTTGTTTAAAATGGCAATTTCTGTGGAGCGTTTGCAGACGATTTGCTGGTACTRAACGCATTTTTGCAATTTCTCGAATAAAATATATGCAAAAAATCTGAAATAAACGTTTTTTTGAAAGAGGAATTGTAAAACTAGTTAGCTGTAAAATGAAAACGGAAWCCGCCCTCAATAAACAGAAAAAAAGTTTGAGGCAGTTCCATGACAAACGGTGGACCTTGGTGGATACAATTCAGGATAAATTGACACTTCTAATGTATTTACTCTAGACGAGTAAAGATCATGTATTTGCTATAGTTACATACTTACTGTCATATTACATACTTACTGTCATTTATAAGGTGAACGATAACAAGCTGAACAAAATACAATATGAATGGATAGAAATGATGCGTGATTCGTTAGACGTTCTCGTTTATGTTAACCAAGAAAGTGTCATGKCATATAGTGGAATTGCGCGCCTTTTTTATTTTTTATTTTTTGATCTGGTATCAGCTTGTGGGACTGTTTTTTACTCGATCATGAGTCTTCAAACATATCGACAAATGAAATCATAGTTACTAACTATATGATGAGATTTTTAAAACTTACGCTGTCAACAATCGAAATGAGAATATATATTTGCGTTACTTCTAAACAGAGCAGCAACAGACGTCGCGCACCCGCGAATCTAAAACCTGAAAAAAGTTGTAAGAATCCCAAATATTTAAATGGAAATGAAATTAACAGTATCTATATATATCAACGCCCAATTAACTCGCCAGGAAAGTGTTAATTACCAACTGACAACTTTTAGGCGGTTGTCGCTGGTTTTGTCGTTTTCCAATGTACATATAGCTATCGAGATGTTCTTTGTAAAAATTCTTTGTTTGATCCAAGTTGACTGCCACTACTAATCAGACTTTTGTTATTGTACTATGTGGGGAGTTTGTTCCCTTCTCTGCGCGTAGATTGGTTAGTGTTACATGCATGCTACATGGTTACAGGGATTTAGAAGAGGGGGAACAGGGTGAAGCCCCCTAAAATGTTTTTGCAAATTTGGTATAGGTGTATGGAGTAAAAATTGAAATGTATGATTTTTCAAGCGTTTTGCTATGTGTTAAACATATCGACTAATCTTTTTCTCTTTCGAAATTCTCCAAACAAAGTGATGAATTCGCAAAAGTCCTTACACTATGTCTCATGTTATTCCAATTCACTGGATTACCTATTGCTCACTTTTATCCATCATAACCCTGAGAATTTTTGCAATCATCGTGCAGAAAATTGCAGATCCAATTGGGCTGAAGAAGGCTTTCAATTGGTTTAATATAACAAAGAAAACCATTCAGAGATGGTTCATTAGCACTGATATGATTAAAATAGACGTCTAATGGCATATTCAGAAAGGCTTGTATTTCTTAAAAGGATCAAGAACAGAATTGAAAGAGGCCAGAAAACTGAAAAATAGGTGTGCAATCAAACATTTGAGAAAAGTCTTGACGTGCATGCAAAAAGATAGCAATTCTTGTAGGGAAAGTGAAGCCTCTACTATACACAAGTATAACAATTTTTTTTACAAATAAGCGCACTACATAAACAAATTAATGAAATTAGGAAGTACTCATAAAAACTGGAGAACAGAGGTCAAATCAAACAGAACAAATCAGTTTGAAAAGCTACCGAGATCAACAAATTTCGACTCGTTATTAAAATTAATTGGCGCCATTCTTAAGCAAARAATTAGTTGCCATGTCAGCACAAGACGACTTTCTAAGAAAACACAATGCTCTATATAGTAAAAATGACTTGTAAAATCAAAAGAACCAATAAGGTAACTTTTTGTCAGAAGCTGTCCAAATGCATCGTTAGATGGTACCCGGGGGACCCCACCCATGAAACTTTAATCTGGTTTAAYCCTTTCCCTACGTACGACCATCGGTATAACCAGTAACGCAGGACTGATTTTTATATGTAATAGGACTCCATGCTGTCCAATTAAGAAATAATTGGATGAGGAACATTCCGAGGACTGCCAAAAACTGGACGAGGCCGTGGCCTATTTGGGATTAATATGTGGCTATATAATTAACCTCCAAACATTATAATTTCCCAAAAGCCTTAGATGCGACTGAAAACTGACTTGSTCTGACAAGACAACAAGTCAATATTCCAATTCAAAGCATGTTAATTACGGAAAACACATTCTTTGGTCAAATAAGAATTCTGTTTTGGCGTGGATGCTCAATACTCCAGTTTCGAATTCTCTTTTGTGCAAGCTTAGCTTCAATCAATCATAAATGTCTATTGTCTTCTTTGTACACATAGTGTTTTGCATTACAATAGGATCTCTGCTGAATAAAAGAATATATTACATGCTTTCGAGGTTAAGGCTGCACAAACAAGATCTCGAAACTGGAGTCTGCATTTTGCCCTTCTGGGACAGCAGTGGAAAGCTCATTTTTTTGTCTTAACTTGCAACGTGAAATTCATGCTGTTCACGCCAAAACTCGACTTTTTTGACAACCTCCATCCTAATCCTGCATTTAAGGATTTTTATTCGGAAAAATTGTCTACAGGTGAAACAAGAGCCTTAATTGAAGACCTTTAACATCCACCTCGGTAAACTCGCATTTCTGGAATGCACGACCAAAGTGCACCCTGGGAAAGTTGATATCTATGAGACAGGGATCGGCCAGCAGTCTTACRGCTTTTTTTAGAAGCACCAAGTCACTCGCACCAACAGGCAAAATATTGCATMGATTGCATTCTTTGTTTCTTCATCGTACCAACGCCTAAAGTTATAAAGCACACGTTAACATAGCAAGAATGATGAAATGAAAATTGGTTGTATCTTCTTGATGAGAARGACGTGTATATTGAGCTGGAAAATAAGAGCACGATTGTCACTATGTTTTGATACGGAAACCAAGAATCTTCATTAAAAAACTTTAAACATTAAAAAACCATGCAARATAAAAACTCATCTTTGGGCATTAATCATAAAAAAAAACTTATTAAGAGTTAGAAGAAGCATATTTCTAGCAATTGACTAAGGTAMGTTGTGCATAAGAATTCTTCCAAAACAACAATACGCCGCAACGTTACATTTTACGGCATTAACCAAGTAAACTCTCTAAGAGCGTCTAGGCATTTTTACGGGATTGTTAAAAATAGCTTTTCTTGAGCAAATTGAAACAAAATTGTTGTCATTTCTAAACTATTCTTTATGGATTTACTAAGTTTACAAGGCGCATAATGAATTCACCGTGAAGGGGAAAACGAAATTATTTTTTACCTCCCTGCTTGTTACGTCCCTGTTGCTTATTAGATATTCATATTGGGCTCCCTGTCCAGTTTGATTTCCCGCCCTTTTGCTTGACGGTCGCGCTCGCGCGCTGTCACCAACTTTAATAGCGCGGGAAAAATGCATGCAGAACGATGCGACGCAAAAGTTTAATTTGCCATYTTAATTTGCTGAAAGATTTCAAACGATGGTAAATTTAACAGCAGTAGCTAAAATATTTCATYAGGCTAATCTACTGTATTTGTCATGGCACGCTACTGCTTTCTTCCTCCAACGAAGACCCCTACAAAAMCTAAAAGCACTAAGCTTAATGTAAAAAAGGTGAGATTCAAATAAGCTTAAGTTCTTAAGCTTAAATACATTTCCCTTTATTAAAGATTAACAATCATAAAGTTCTAATTTTAATTAAAAAGTCTTATGTAAAAACCTCAATTATTTTGAAGTCTTCTTCTAGTTCGAGCAAAAACACAATTTCTAGTGGAATGTTGAAGCGACTAGAGCCTGTCTTTATTCCCAAGCAGYGACTTTACAAACGAGGAGTTCTGGACCACAAAGATTCGCAAAGTGAATCCAATAAAGATGAATGTAAAACGCCTRCTTCARATATCCACTTAAAAGACAAACCATCAAAAAATGGGAAAACATCAGGGAAAAACAAGCGAGAAAAGCAGCCAAGAAAATCTACACCACTTTGCAGGGCTCTATTTCATGATGACAGCAAAGACAATTCAACAATTCTTGAGATAGCAGAGCAAGACTGCAGCAAAAAGAGCAACAAAACAATGGAGGAAGGATTCATGCTCCCAGAGGACGTAGAAGTCATTGAAGTGTGTCAAGCAGATAAGGTCAAAGAAGCCAAGAGCACTCCGTTCAAAAAGCCTCAATGCAAGCCATGTCTGACCAAGAAAGCAAAACAGGTTGGATGCATACACGTTCTTTTCTTTTTAATTTACAGTTTGTAGTTGTGTTGGCAGCTCAATATATTTGCTGATTTTGCTGTTAGTTGTATTATATGGCCAAATAAATGCATCAGGATTTCTAAAGAAAGGGGAGGGGTCTTATCTTTCTAGCCAGTCATCACCTGCCATTTCACAATAAACTTGACAGAAAAACATTTCTTCCAGAAAAGGATCAATCAGTCAGTTCTAGACATTATCCGGAAAACACAGCAAAGTATTCAAGAAATAAGGAACCAAGCATTAGCTGGACAGGAAGTTGGTGAGGACTTTCAATGGCAGATCGAGAAATTAGGATTATCCCAGGCTCATTTTACCACAACATACCCAATTCCGTCAAGCATTTTCGGTTTTTATTATTTTTTTCAGTTTAGTATTACTCCATATAGTCAACTTTAGATATTTTGGTTCAATGACTATACAAAAGAACGCACACACAAGGCTCCGGGAAAACAATGGATAATCTTGATTTGTTCTTTTATTTCCCCGGAGCCTCATCTGCAATTCTTTTGTGTCCATGGTCACTGAACCAAAATATCTAAAGTCGTCTAGAGTACAAACATTAAATGTGTGCAATACTTTCCACTATTTACTACAAAATAGTGTTAATTAAACAATAGAAAACAATAGAATTAGCATAATTTGGCAGTATTTAGTGGTATTTATGTTGCACAGTTTTAGTGTTTGTACTCTATTGCTTCTCTAAAAAAATAAATTATAATTCAGTTTTAGGATACTGATTACTCTCCTACTCGATTAAAAATATTTGAACTTAGTTTTCACAACCACACTGAACAGTTCACGTTTTAAAACATATTTCCCTATAAATCCTATAATTTTTAAATGTGTTGATTATAATCTGACAAAATTATAATTACTAAGTTTYATTTATCATATAGTACTGTACATGCAAAAATACATAAATTCATAGAGTGCTCGCACTTAATGCGTGAAGCAAATAGTACTAACTACTAAATAGTGTTGATCATACAATAGGAAACAAAGGAATTTGTATAAATTTATCACCTATTTTGTAGTATTTATATTTCACGCATTTAGTGCGAGCACTCTATAGGCAGTGACAATGATTATGAAGTATAAGTATGAGATTTAACGTCCAATTGAAACTTAATAATTGATAATTATGATTTGACATTATTTCAGAAAAAKTTCAAAGTAGAGAAAATAAAAAGACCAGTATCAATGTTCAGGTCACTATGTGCGATCCTAACAATGGAATACAGAAATTAAAGGTAAATATATCATCATTGCTTTCTTGTCATGCATGCGATACCAATGTTATGTTAATGTAGACARCAAAGGTGAAAAACATGGGAAGGGAGGAGTTATTAAGAAGTTGTTATTTGATTTCATCACAATATAATATACCTCATGTATTTTTTTCCAGTGCACAGTACAGCAATCAGGAAGTSTTGAGGATGAAATTATTGGCWATCAACATCAAAGCATTGAAACATACCATGATATTGAGAACTTGTTGTGAGAACTGTTTACAAAATACAAATGTCAGGTAACAATCTCTTTAATTAATTTGGATAAAAATATTTAAGTTTTTCTGAAGAGGATTATATAGAGTGAAGGCATTCAACCCGTGAAATAAAAGTAAATACTTAAACTGTAATAGTCAAATAGACACAAAAGAAAACAATGGAATTATCAAGTAATAACATGTAATAGTGAAATATGTATTTCACGGGTTCATTGACTTCACTCTACATATTATACACATTTTCAACATAATCTTTTTATTAATTAATATTTAATTTATCTGATGTAAAGAAATTTATTGCTTGCATTTTTATTAATTACAATTATAGGCAATTTGAGTAGAAATCTGAGTGTCTTCTTTGTASATACTAATAACATTCTGTAATTATGGGTAGTAACAATATATTGTATGTCGCTCAGCTGCAAGTAACAAGCGGTACTCTAAGTGTTGTGCATGAATGGTCTTGAGCATGTCTATGYCTGAAATACCAAAGTTAGAAAACATAGTAAATTACTGAGAAGGAGGAATCACTGCAAGKTCCATAACCAAACAGTGGCCATGGTTTGGATTTTTAATATGGAACATGAGATGACCTCAAAAATATACTGTATACATTCTATTATAATTTCTTTTTTTAAAAGAAAATGCATAATTTCTTACATGCCACTGAAATTGCTTTGAACTGAATTTCATCCATACTGTACTGTTAAAGTACAACAACCCTGTACATATATACCAGGTTTACAAATTGCATGAAAACAGAACAGGGTGACTGGGGATGAGTCGGGTTGTATACATACCTAACACAAAATTTTTTCCCRCATTGATTACAGTAGAAAGGCATGATTTCATTTTGTCTACAGCCTTTTAATGAACATCTGTTAGTTTTCTTTGATTTYTTGATAACAAGCTCTTTACAGCCACTGAGGAGATGTTTTTCAACCTGAAGTTGTGATATAAGAGTAGGCCTTGTAAGCAATTGGTAGTGATCTATATTAGAGCGGATTTCGTATGAGCGGGACAACATTACCGCACGGTTACCGCACAGTTACCGGACCTGGCCTGCACAATTTTGGTGAACCAATGGGGCACTAGAATTTGGTTTCAGTACGATTACGGTCACAGTACAGTACCATCCGTTTCCCACTCATACGAAATCCGCTCTAAGTAATTTTAATTACTTTAAAGTTTTAAAAATACTGAGAAGTGAAACTCGACAGTCATGTATATCATATTGTTATCTAATGAACCTAATAGACAAGTATATTTTCTCCCTTTCGAATAGCTTTACATTTCAATTACCTGCTCGTTAATATCATCATTTTTAGATTTCTTTATAAGTTCACCACATAATGGACAAACAGGAACATATACCTGCAATTGAAAAGAGAAACTTAAATTGATTGATTGATTGATTGATTGATTGATTGTATGATTGATTGATTGATTGATTGATTGATTGATTGATTGATTGATTGATTGATTGATTGATTGATTGAAATTATGAAAAATACTTATAATAAATAAAACAATCATGTAAGTTAGATTCACACCTATTTTTTGAAAACACTGGAGGGGTGCATGGGACAAAAAAACTTTCTGTTTTGTACTAGTTCTGTACTAAAATTATATTAATCATTATTATCAGCCCTGTTATAAGCTTTTATATTAAAATATTAATACAGCTAATTATTGTTGGTAAGTTTTATAGCTGTGCAGACAATTTCTATTATACTAAGCTTCTATAATATTGGTTATGAATCTTTGTTCAGTCAGCTAGGCTATACAATATTACAGAGTATTTCCTTGAATGCTCCATTATTCTTAGATCCTTGAACAAGACSCATTATATTTGCTATCAATGTGAATGTCATAAAAAATACTTAWCGATAAAATACTTATCATCATTAAAAGTGATACTTACATCACTTGCTTTTACTTCTTGGCAATTATGTCCATCAGGCATACGATGCTCAAGACTATAAAGGAACATAATATTATATAGGATAATTACCTATGATTAATGAATCTAGATCCTGTGAGRATCGGTGCTYTGGCATGAGGCTGGGAAATCAKTTACAACTAGATATTGAMCTGGTCACATAAGGCAAAGTGCAGATAGCCAATCARGAGTGTATATTCACTAATACCTCCTATTGGCCATAATCAGCAATTACACACATCTACTCTACAACGAATAATTTGATAGTAAGAGTGCAATCTTTAGGACGACACAATTACATATTAAGCCTAAGTATTTGCCTTTTTGTCACCCCATGCTTTTTGASCCACGACTTGCAAWCACTATTAGTGTGACAAAGTGCTAAACAAATCGTGCTACATAGAAAAAGATTAAATCAATAGACTAGAAAAGTATTTAATTGCTAAAGTTTTTCATGGTTTTATAGTTTTTCCACTATATTATATTTAATTATTATATATGTTATTTAGGTGGTAATGTTTTTAAAAGCTGTCAGCTATTATATGAYACATTTATTTGCCATCACATCATGTTCGCAATCATTCTTTCCAAACACAACTAGAAAAATATTAGGAATTTGGGAAAAATTCTAAGCTAATGAAACACTGAGAGAACCTAGATTAGTCAGTTTAATTGAGTGATAATAGAGGAATATCAAACATTAACTTTATCATCAGCACCAGTCTGAACATAAGTATTTTTTAGGAATCCTCTAGTCCTGGTAAAGAGTGTCAACAGAGCAAATTACGTATAATCCTTCAGATTCTTATTCTTCATTGACAAATTTACCAACTCACCACAATATTTCTTTACAATGGCCACAGGTGAACGGYAAGAAATCCAGTCTCTTACACGACGAAACAAAGCAATGGCGTCCAATGGCCATTAAATCGACATTTTYGTCTGCCATGATAGCCTAACCTCGTATCTAGTTCTTCTCGTATAAAATGCTGATGCATCATGAGCGTCATTTTATACCAATGTTACAAATTTGCAGTGTCATTTCATTTTTRTGAGGCATTCTTCTCGAGCCTTCCAACCAATGAGATTGGGAGTTATAAATAGATTTGACTGCGCATGCCATCAGCATCCTTGTACCCAGGCTTTCATAAAGCGGCTGACACAGGAACACCAAAGTAGGTGATTTTCTTTTTTTTTTTTACCTTGCTTTGTAAATCGATATCTGTACAAATTTCATTACAAAAAAAAATAATTGTGTTAAATTTCTAAGGAACCATTCCCTTAAACTGCACCGATTTAAACGTTTTTACTTCAAAATACCAAAAAGTATTAGTTTTCGTTTGCGTATTTTTTCATAATTGGGCAAAATGGATGAATAATCATTCGATCTGTTTTAATTTCAAATTGTATTACCACTTATTGTGGACAAAAAAAAGTTATCCTGAATTGTGGAGTTTATTTATTAGTGTTACCTTGGCAATATGTTRACTATGAACAGACATTTCTTCTTTTGCTGGAAATTACTTGAAATTAGCCCAGCTTCCGAGCAAAGTCTATAAAAAAGATAATAAATAAACATCGCAGAATATAATTTTCTCTGCAAGTTCATATTTAAATGGCTATATGGCCTAAAAATTAATGTACCAAATTACTCGACGTTACAAGTGAAGCTAAAACATTTCCATTAAAAAGGCTTGTTATTGACTCTGCAATGAGGGGGAACCCCCTGGGATGTGTTCAGGCTCGTACTAAATACCGAGAACTATTGCTAACACTGTCTAAAGACGCTATTGTTTATTCTGTGTGCCATTCCAAGGTGTTATTTCTTCTAACTGTAGCGCAAAACGATCAATCACTCTAACTTGTAAGATTCCTTGGTATCTGACTAAGCGCTTTCAGACACGGTAAATTATCCCGGGAAATTATCTGATTGCGCAGCTGTTACGGACCGATTGATGTGTTGGGCATACAGCACCGATCATGACAAGTAAGAAATCTGAAGAAGAGAGAAAAAGTGAGGAAGATCAAAACAGGTATCAGTTTTCGGTGAAATCTGAAAACAACAGCGGACAACAAACCTTTGGCAACCATAACAAGATCGAAAACACATCTATTCAGTTAAACTACTCCTCGTATACCCAACAACATCACAACTATAATAAGTTTGTTGTACTGAACGTATTACCCAATGAAACAAGCTCCGATTCTGACAGCAAAACTCACTCCARTTCTAAAGATTATTCCAGAAAAAAGTCGAAAAAGAGAAAACGTATCAATGACACCATCAATCGAGTGTTAACTGAAGATACCTGGATAAAACAAACCAAGGAAGGCACTAATCAACTCTCTGTTTTCAAGCAGAACCATTCAACCGCAGCAGAAGAAGTTGATGACAAGRRAAAAAAAGCTGAAAYTGAAACATTTCGGCAACGTTTCCCGCAACAACAAAATCTTGGTAATATTTTAGTCGATTCTGGTCAGTCTGGAAATTCGCTCAGAGAGAGAAAAAAAAGTGMAAAGCCTACTGGTACCTTTTCAAAATCTAGCAGGAATCAACAAGCTAAAAGAGAGACATTTTTTTCTCCAGTTTCTACTGCCATCGTCCAACTATTCTGCTATGTACTATGCTTTGGCATTGCATGCTATATGGAATGGCCGCTTTGGCACTTCCCGTACATTTGCTATGGGGTATTTACCGTTATCGCTTCTATCAATATAGCGTCATGTATTGGATGTATCGAGGGGAAGTACATAAAGTCAGATAATGACACCAAGGCCGACAATTCAGACTTTGAAGCTTTTGCTCGCATTGATATCGGAATCAAGCACCATAAGTTGCTGATAAAGCTCATTGGCTTATTTTGCGCTGTGAGTTTGGCTTTCCTTTCCAGCCTGATGTATGAATGTACTCAATGTGATWGCAAATKGRTGCAGACTGCCATCCTTGCTATTGCCAGTACTTGCCCTTATTTTACCTTTAAGAAGGATATGACAATGCTAAAGGTAGATCATCGCTGCAATGTCATCAGAGAATCTTCTAATGATAAGTGCATTGCCATTCAAAGGCGGCCAGTTGCAGTTTTTGTGTTCGTCATGGTTTTGGTCATCTTACTGTTGCCTCGGTGTAAGGAGCCTAATTGAGCGTTGCTGTTTTTAGAATAGATGAGGTGACGGTTTTGGCCGCCATCTTGTCCGGTAGGCATAGTGTCGCAAAAGAACAAGGAATGACCGGGAAATCGATGTCAAATTATTCCCGCTGAATTCAATTTCGGAAAGAGTTATCAATTATTGCAAACGTTAGATACTGTAAAATGGAGTTAACTGGCCAAATTTGAAGGGCGTACTTGATTTAGAGAGCGAGTAAACTCATTTTTAGTTCCCCATACATTTCTTTRTAATTTCCGRGGTCATCAGCGCGTGACGCGCGTGAAAAATACAAAGAAATGTATTTAGAACTAAAAATAAATTTTCTCGCTCCCTAGATGAAGTACATCGACCTTCAAATGGCCAGGTAATTCCTTTTTGTAATATCTAACGTTTGAATTAATAATTCCTTCTGAATTTGAATTCAGCGGGAATTATTTGACATCGATTTCACGGTCATTCCTTGTTATTTTGCTTTTTGCGACACTATCGCCTACCGGTCCAAGATGGCGGCCAAAACCGTCACCTCATCTATCGCGCGCTTTTTGAAAACTTTATACTCCAGTTTCGAGATCTTATTTCTGCAGCCTTTACCTCGTTGACATGTTATATATTCTTTTATTCAGCAGAGATCCTATTGTAGTGCAAACACTCTGTGTACAAAGAAGCCAATAAAAATTTATGCTTGATTGACTTGCGCAAACGAGAGTTCGAAACGGGAGTTTTGCATTAGATAACTTTAAATTCCTTTTTTTAAGGAAGTGGCGATTCTTACGGTAAATGATGGTCTGCGGTTTAAAACCCTACCGCGATGGATAAGACCCTGCTGCGCCAGTAATTCATAGGCATAAGAAGCTTACTACATACAATATAACGATAGAAAAATAAAGAACCCAGCCCCCCCAAAAAAATTTTCACCTTTTCGATAGAGTTGTTATTTTTTTTATACTCATTAAATAAATAATCTGACTAATTTTCACAGAGCCACCAATATTTTTTTGTTTACGCCGTCCATGTACTCGGCACGTGACAAACAAGAAAAAGTTCTAGAGTGTTGCCGACATTATATTTGACTGAAAACGCACTTGTAATTCAGAAGTATCGAGTCCGACAGTTCTGATACTATCCACAGATATCCATTTCACAGAAATGTAAAGAGATTAATTACACTAAATCATAAGTATTATTAACGAGGACTARGCATCTTAATCTCATTTTAGCATTAAATTTGCTTATTTTAGTATTACAATACACGTAATTGATAAAATGAGTGCAATAAAATCTGACAATTTTGCATTAGATAGACATCTTTCTCATCCACAATGCATACTTACCTCTATTAAATCCGCATGTTATCGGGAGAGGCATTTCATTTTATGGGTAGAGCTTCCATTGACTCGTAAAAAAAATAATCTATATATAGAATATATGAAGCTTTGTTCTTTTTTTTTTTAAGGCCCGTTTACACTTGCAATTTTTGCAGTGCGATTGTCGCGCGACAATCGCCTTAGTTTCGAACATGCTTATTAAAATTTAGCTGCAACTACGATTTGAGGTGCGAGAGAACAAAGTACCGATTAATTGTCGGTAATTGCGACAATCCCGCTGCAAAAATTGCAAGTGTAAACGGCCCTTTAGGATGAAGAAGTGCTTCATCTGTTGTTGTTGTTTAACATAATTAGAGAAATTGCAAAATTTCGTTTTAGTGATCAGTCGGTAATTTCCTAGCTCTAAGGATGATTTTTTGGGGGGGAATGTTTGATGAGCTATGGGCAAAGATCTTTTATTATATGGACCCATGAATCCGCCTTTTATTCAATGTATTRTTTGATAAAATGAAATAACAACTGATTTACACTGTGAGATAGTCTGTGGTAAACATTGGCTCCATYTAGYCTCCATTTCTATGTGGTGAATCCATGCAATAGGTGAAATTTTGCCTTTTTCAAAACAGTGTAACCATAGTCCCTTTCGGTCGTGCAATCTCCCTTCGACAATCGCCGTTTTTGCCGTTTGCCATTCTCTCCGACAGCGTTTTTTGAAATAGCTGTATATATAAGATACCATATGCATGTGACGCGCGCATGTTTTATTGACGTAAATAGGCGTTGAACGTGCATTGCAGTAACGACAAATGAATGCGAAACCTACACTTCTGCACCATTAAGAAGATTAATCAATAATTTTTCTTGTCTATATTTCTCAGACCAGTATGACGATGATATAGTCCATATATCTACAGCTAATCTAGCGTAGTCTTCTTCATCGTACACTATCGCATGTTCGCGCAAACACAGAATATGTAAATAAGAATTTTTTTATTAGCGTAAGGTTAAGGTCTCTATAATATAATATCACATACTGACAAAGAATAAAGACCAAACTCTTATCGTAATACTGAACAGTACAACTTGAAATATAAAATTATCAACAACAATTAAACCTCTATTAAAAAACGTCAAAAGCTATTTAAAAAAATCGACAAGGCAAAAAATCACGCGCGTTGATGGATATATTAGTGGATTAGTGRTAATAAGTTAGGCAATGATTGATGGYTAAATCCCTTTAGATTTACTGCTTAAACAGGCAATTATTTTTGTTTGTCCTTACTGGAATGCTGCTTCAATAAGGGAATGATGCTTTTATTATTAGCCTCGATAAAATTGATGAATTGCGATTATAATTCATATCTCGATATTCTCCCGTAAATCACCATCCTCTTAATGTTACCTATTATCATCAATTTGTAGTAAATACGAATTTGCTAATAATCAATTGACGAAACGACCGTTAAAACAGATTCCAAGATAGTCAACTGTGTATTGAAAACATCTAACTTGACTCTCGGCTATTTTCAAGTTCGCGCTGTCCTTTTCTTCTTCCATAAGACAAATGTCCTCCCTGAAAATTTAGTTT